CCATGTGTTCTGTTATTGTGTTATATTCATATTACTGAAAATTGGGGTCCGTTATATTGATGATCGGTCCAGATATTAGGCGGCCTATGATAAAATGCCTCATTGGTGGATGGAAATTCAGAAAATATTTGACGAAACTTTTTAGTGTCAAGTAATAATGTTATTAGTATTTTGCACTTCGTGATAGTGTCTTAGTTACGAATAGGTATTGGCAACCTATTCCATAATAAACTATGTGCACTGTAAACAGCTTACAACGCATTGGTTTTCGGTGTTTTGCTACAAGCGGTGTATAAGCGTTGTTTCTTAGTCTATAGGCTGGGTCATGGATAATAGTTGGGCAATAGGTTAGAAATGAGAGTCCATATATTGCTTTGTAGAGAAATATTAGATTGTTCCCTACACTACAGTGCCGTAAAGGTTGTAAAGCGAGGTGCTTACATCTATTTGTGTAATCGAGAGTCAAGTCATTTCCTAGCAGTTGACGTAAAGCGTCCTTGAACATCTACTCTTATCCTGTCTGTGGTATTCATAACAGAGAAAATGAAAGAGCAGTTTTCAAGAGGAGATCGTACACATATTTTGTAAAGGGTAAGCTTAGCCTCTGTTGTGAAGAAGTTTTTCGTCATGAAACCAATTAGCCGTCTAGATTTAGAAATAATAAATAAGGCATGTTCTCCAAACTTTAGGCTTCCTATGTAAATAATGTCTAGATCGTGCGCTGATTTCAGTGTTTGAATTCTACTCTCATTGAAGGAAGGTTGCAAATCATACGGGTGTTTTCCAAAATGTATGATCCCACACTTGTTAAGGTTAAATGGTAATTGTCCTTTTCCGCTCCAGGTAGTTAGGTTATTGAGGTCACTTTGAATCTGGGATAGACTTTCAATTAGAGATTCAGGCTTATAGCTGTATACTATTTTGAGATTATCAGCATATAAGTATGATCTCCCAAATCTTGTGGTGTCGCATATATCGTTTATATACATTAGAACAAAGAGAGAACCTAATACACTCCACTGAATGACTCCACTAGTTATTGGTGTAGATGATGAGAAAGATAGTCGTTGTACTTTAACTTTTGTCTGCGTTCTGTTAAGAATGAAGCAAACCATGAGTACAGTGGCTTGTTGGTTCCGAAGGACTTTAGTTTGACGACTACTCTTTTGTGTGTGACCTTATCAAGGGCTCTTCTAAAGTCTAAGAATAAGACTAAAATATAGAATCAGTTGTTCCGTTTTAGTTTTAATTATAACATACTCAAAAATAATAACACTGACTGTCAATGAATAAAACAGAACTTTAACAAATAAGGCTTCCAGCAAAATGGTTCATTAAATGGCAGAAATGATAATTGTTATGAAATAGGCTCCTGGAGTACGCTTGATTAACAAAGGTTTTTTGAACGGTTAGCATTGATGTCATGAAGAAAAGTGTGAACCCGATAGTGTTATTGAGTAATAGTCTGGCTCAAAAACCCCATTTATTGTGAAACGGCCTGAAGGGATGTTTATCTTTAATCACATGTCATTATTATGTTCATCTGTAGTTGATAAAGACAAACAATAGATATTGAATATATATGACGTTACGCATAAACTGCCACAAATAAGGAGAAACGTGGCCATTATTTTCGTCGTCACAAAGTTATTGAATGTACTTGTCAGTACGTGCGCTTTTGAAGGTTGTAACTTTTTTATAGTGCTTTCCAACAAGTTGTGAAACAGAGGATTGTGTGAGGTATGACGTATATACAAAAATAAGCCTAAATGAGCCTAACATCACAAAAGGAGGGAGGGTGGAGTTACTGACCAGCAAGCATTGATGGTGAGGGCGATAACTTCAATCCACCCGTGTTTGTGGGGACAGAACATTTTGTATGTATCAGGCTCTTTATAACTGAGAATAAGACAGTCAATCTAAGATATAGATTGTCTTCCTACGCTCACCACTCAGACTCATGTTTCCAATAATATGCTGGGTTAGCTATTCTACTAAGACAACCTATAACATTCTAACTTGGACTTTTACACTAGGATTGCGTGGCTGACATCGGATGGACAAAAAAAGAAAAGAAAAAAGACAATAAAAGATATAGTCACTAGTATTCTTAACACTTCACCCTCTATATACACACCCTTCTAATAAACCGCTTCCTTGTACCAACCTTGACTTCGCTTCCTTCATGTGAGCTTACTCCAACTTATTAAACATCACAAGCTCGTTGTTCTTTATTAGTGCATTCTCTAATATGGAGCCTCTGACTTCACTTCACTCTAACAAGACATTATATAAATTTATTCTAATTTATTATACCTCTGTCCGTTCTACTACACAATGTTAAGCAACCTTTGGCGTTCATATCCAAGTGCCTTGCTGCTCTTCTGTTTCTCTTTTTCTCTCCTTCAGAATCTTGCTCTGAGAGCACAGCTATGAAACTTCTGACGTTTGGAGCAAACTTGACGTACGCGTCCTCTCAAGGTCATAGTTCACAGCAAGCGCTCTACGATTTCACTTTATAACAACTATAAACTTAATAAGTTGGGAAGCATTTTGCGAACCAACAAATGTTGTAATTAATAGATCATGCCTGTAAAAACGGTGTGTACCTGCACATGCAGAAATATATTATTATTATTATTACTATAAAGTAGATGGCCGGTTTTTAATTGCTAATTCATAGAACATGAAAGGTTTCTTAACGGTGATAGGTTCCAGTCACTCTCTCAAAGATATCATTTTGTTTTTTCACTGGGGTAGTGACCAAAACAAGTAGCATGCTGCCTGAATAATTCTTAATAATTTTTCAACTCTCCGTGAGCTAGAACTTTATACGTATGTAAGTCGGTTCGGGTTGTCACATTCCATTAGTACAGAGAGGTGAAGTTGTTGGGCCAAATCTTAGAACAGCTGAAGTAGCGATAGCATGTGTATGGACTAAAAAGATTAGGCTACGAATATACTACTCAATAGAGTAGACGTTGATGGGAATACGCGAGAAACTTTTTAAGGAATTTAAGGGTTCGAAATTTAGTGGAAGACAAATAATGGATGTGCCTACGTCACTCCAAACGATTTTCAGCCATATCTTTCATAGTCTTCAACCATTGGTTACGGTGATCACATGGACCACAACCAAATAATCTACACGTTTGAATATGGCTCAATTCAACTGTCAGTGACCCTGTGGACTGAAGTTATGTTTCGATTTGATCCCCATTGATTTCGTCCAGCCCGTTCATACGCCGAGTATATGTAGCACATGCCCGAACCACCTCAGCTGATGAAGACTTACCAAATCGTCAATTAATTTTCCATCTTCCTACCAAATCTCTATTCCTAACCCCGATATTGCTTATTCAGTTGACCCTAGACACAAGGGCAATGATTCGAAGACATCTGTTATCAAATACCTTCAATATTCTATTCTTAATGGTTCTGTTGGACACCCACAAAGTAGGATGGAGCAAACTGCTGATCAGAAAAGACGTCATTCGGTTGGAAAACAAATATCTCGCCTGCACCAACAGCGAAGCAATTGTCCAAAGTCAATCGACCCTTCTGAATTCGTGCTGATATTTCGTCAGGCACTGGACAATCAGAACTGACAACTGAAGTGGTCAATGTGTTCAACTTCTTCACCCTCTACCCTTAATTTGGAAGCCGACGCAATTTAATCTCGAAGATGCATTTTGGCTTCGGAGGGGGAAAATAGCAACACAATCACATTTGCATTGTTAACTAAGGTGGATGCTCCGATGAGAAGGTTGTAAGAAGCAGAGTCAATATTTTGTGCACCAATATTTTGGAGCAAAGTATAGTTCATTCTGTTGCCTTCTATTTTTGGTTTCATAGATTGACGGAAAATGTTTGGGACTGTTTATCAAGTTCGCCGCATAGGAATGTATGTGTGTATGAGACATACTGACAACAGTCTGTGTCGAATCTCAATAAGTGATACTCACTTTGAAATCTACCCTTGTTTGTGGAACATAAGCACGGGAAATATCCCCTTTTAAAATTATTGTAACGACATTAAGAGCTGTGGGTAAATTTAGAGCACAAACTACTGTACATGTGTCTTGAGATGTCATTTATTGATCATGTATATATGTATGAAAACTGTTATTGCAAGGAATACGGACTATGTGCGATTAACTTAAAGTGATGTTGCGGACAAGGCGTACTGTTCGCAATTGTTTAAAGAGAACAAAAGCCGAAGATTAAGTAATTTAGTCTGCTTCGGATGGAGATTAAACTGGACATACAGCCCGAAAAAACTTCACTGCACAAATAATGGACATTTTAAATCCTTTGTAAATACGATACTTTTTGATACTATGGCTGGAAATCGTTAATCGAAAAAAGCAGTGTTGTTATATAGTGAACGATAAGAATGACAAAAATGTACCCACTAAGAAGCAAAGATCGTGAACTTTTAAATAGCGCAAAGTTTTATTTTGTCACTGATAAGAATGATTTACAGAAAACCTTGTTCTAGTAGCTTTCATGCGCATTTTTAGATGCCTGAAAAGAGTCATCAACCCAACATTCAAATTCATTAGGTAATAGTGTTAATGATGCCACGAGTATTCGTAGTTTGAAATCTCCTTTACACGTAAACCTTTATTATCAAAGTGTACCAACTCAGTGAAATCAGCAATTGAAAATCAAAAAGTTTGAAAATATATTTGGGAGATTATTGATACGTCCGGAAGCGTCAAGTCTGTGCTGGCTAACGGTCGCATGGTATGTATAGCACGGCGTGACCACTCGTAATTGAGCGCCTTCAGCTAGGTGTGACCAGTAAAAATGATGGGAACAGTATCAGTGTTGAGAGACTGTAGGACTATTTTCAGGTTGTCCTTATTTTATAATGATTCATGATTGACTGTTGTCAATTGCTTCTATAATCAAATATATGTGTAAAATATGTGCTTACACATTGTTCACTTATCTCCCTGATTCTTCCATATACTGTCCTTCATAAACCCTCAGTACACAATTTACCTTCAGGATGAACTCAATAAAACACTGAGTGCCACATTCCTACAAACTTCCCAACCAATCGATTTACACTATTTGAGGATTGAAATCAAAGCGCCTGTTTCCACTCTTGCGTTTCAGTCAGATGGGCGAGGACTTCAAGTCAGAAGATATACTTGGATTTAAACTTGATAGGTGTATTTCCGATACCTTGATTAAAACAGGTTCGATATGACGTTTTCTAAAACGGCTTCTAGGTGCTGGTTTATTTGGGGGAATCATATGTTCCGTGGTGCTTGCTAAAAGTAAGTTCCCGTATTATATAACTTGCCTAGGGCGTCCATGGCCACTTATCTTCGGGACTGGTTTCGGTCTCGGAATGGGAATTTCCAACTGTAATAATGACTTTAAACAACCGCTTCCTTTAGTTTCTCACCGTATTGTGGTAAGTCTTTCTGGCCTTCATTGTGGATCGTTTCAGAGTTCAAATCAAGTTCCGGATGAAAAGATAGACACATAGTATGATGGAACAACACTCCTAGTCTGTATTTAAACCAAATTGTATTTTTAGAAATGACTTTCAACTCGTAGATTGTTATGTGAATAAAGTTTATTCTAAAACTCCAAGTTCTGTTTGGATTTAATTAGTACTATTATAACTATGTTTGGGGTGCATGTATGGGTTTCTTATTTTTACTACACCAAGCAAGTACGTGTCATGCATAATTAAGCCATATTTTACCCACAGTTAATCTGTAAAAATAATTTTAACAATTAGTTTCGGCTGGTTTTGTTTTTTTGGTAATTTTCGACTCATTGTTACGCCTTTAACGTGTTTGTTTGCAAACAGTGTAGACCAGCAGATCATCAAAGGCATTGTTTCGATATTTGTATTTTACAATCCGATGACACGATAACTTGTAATAGGCTCTTAAGTAAAATTATTTTAACTCATCTATGCTCCATTACTTAGATTTTAATAATACTTGAAGGCATAATGCGAGTGGGGAAAATTTATTGGACCGGATTTGCCTTAGCATCAGATGCAAATTCAGATTTATGTATGAAGGACAGAAGCTCGAAAATATAACTTAGTTCTCCAGGATACTTCTGCATGTCTGATATTCTCTTGAGTAAGTCCAACAAAGGTACAAATATCATGTTTTCTAGTAGTAGGTTTTAAGAGTCGATCATTCAGTAGGGAAATCTGCGCTCCACTGGTATATGGTCCGCTCTGGGATTTTGAAACCTTTCTTTTTCTCTGATTCGTCCTTATTTAGTCAGAAAGAAAAAAAGATATATCTGATTTAGAACCTACACTCGTTATTCCATACATCATTTTCGGTTGCCTCAGTTGACGGTAGGTTGATTGAAAGGCATCTAAGCCCTTTCAAAATCTCGTTATTCTCGGTCAGGTGAATGTTTCTGAAAATTAGCGTCGCCTTTGAATGGGAATTAATGGTGTGCGTGCCGTTGTCTAATTCGAATCTTACTATTTCTGCATGAAGCGTTGCGTTCCTGTTAAAGGTTTTAAAGGATTTTTAGGTTAGGGAGAGCTTCCACGATGTTAAAAAGTCCTCACCCTATTTTAAATAGGACCAATAAGACCCAAACAAAGAAGCTATGCGGACTACAATTTCCAGAACACCGTAGGTTCTGGTGCAAATTCTTACTGGTTAAATATAATCTTGAAGCGATTAGGAGAAAGTTAGGTGGTTAATGCACGTTCATAGCTTAACTCCTACATAATAGTTGTTTCATTATATGTATGTGTATGTGTAATGCATCTTAACCTTTTCATTGGTGTTGTAACGTGTGACTTGCAGGTTTTAGTAAGCAGCGTTTTATCGATCGATCACAGTAACACGGAAAACACGTATGGACGACCTAGTGCCCTGATTGGCCCTGCTTCGCTGTCTATCCCAGCCAGCTGAGTCTAGAACACAAGTCACAGCCTCTGAGATATGAATCGTTGTATTTCAGACATACTCTATTTATATACTAATCAAACAAACCACATCGTACCATAAAATAGAAAACAACATTTACACAATATTTAACAAGTGAAACAAACATCGACCAATGGGAAATGTCCATTTGACGTTCAAGGACACCATTCGACTTAACACGATAATTATTGGCATATTCCTCTGCATACCTAACAATTGGACTAAAGTGTAGCAACAATTTATTATCACCACTTAGTGCTCTATTCATAACTTAGACATTATACGGTATCCCCACTATATTTGACTAGTGTTTCAGAAACACCTACGACCAAACGAATGCAACTTATGTACGTCTTTTCTCAAAACCTTTTTAGTGACAAAAGGTATGCTGCGCTATGTGCTCTGTTTAATAGACAAAACTTTCATTTCACTGATGCTGTACGTTATGTAAATTTGAAAAGGACTTGTGTCCTTGTTGAGATTTTGTCAGTTCCCAGAGTACCACGATTAATGAGAGCCCCGAGATTATTGGTGTTCTGCACACCCACCTGGTCTATTACCAGGCAGCAAATCCAGTTAGGTTGACTCAAGAGATCATCAGCGATGGTGGTAAAGCACTATCAGCTAGGTAGACTGAATTATTTTCATACCTATATACATAACTTCGAACAACACTTTTGTAATAGAGCTAGTGTTAATAATCAACTGTCGAGACCAAAGTTGATGGTACTATGTTTGAAATAAAAACTTTGATATTGTAAATGTAAATGTAATATGTAGCTACTTTTCTAAATATATGATGAACATTTTAGTCAAATAGTTATGAGATGTCCAAGTTATTTCATTCAATTTCAATGATATAATGCTGTAAAAATATGTGATTGGCTATGCGTAGGGCAATATACAGTTCTGTTTATTTATGGTTGATATCTGAGGCATCCCACTTAAGTCTGGTGTATTCTGTTTGATTATTGAGCACGTAAACATAAGGTTTACGTTCAAATTATACAGCTTGGATAAAAATTAGGTAGCTGATTTCCCCTAAAGTAGATGCTCTTGTCTATATGCATTAAATTAGTGATTCTCAGGAAGTGGGACTAGTAAACATTTTAACGTAGATCCCACACCCATAGACTTATTGTCTTGTTCCAGAAAACAGCATTGTGAGCTTTGGTCTATTTCAGTTGTTAAGGTGTTTAAAATTGATAGGTTTCCTGTACTAGATTTCCTTAATTTCAATATTCCATTTACTAAGAGGATCACAAGCTTTTCATAATGCAGATCACTGTTGATTATTTTAATCATATGTTTTATGAAGTGGTTTATTCTTCTAGACTTATTCAAGTCTTCTTCTGGCATGTATTTTCGTAAGCTTAACTTCAGTCCTGCTTTAACTATAATTTTAACAGAATTTACTCAGATAAGATGGTGTACACAATGTCGAGTCACCTGGACTAGTGACCACATTGCGACTTGGTCTATAGGATTCGATCTTATACAAGAAGGAACTGATGTACATGACGTTGATCACCACACAGTGGTCAATCAATTGTGAATCTGCTCATTTTGCTCTCCATATGTCGTACAACTTTCCTACACTCGTGTTAGTTTGGTTATTTTATACTTGTCAACTACAGTTCTTGACTGTTGGCAAATTTTATCAATATTGTTATTATGTTCTAAAAGGTTAACTACCGGTCGACCTGAAGATGAAATAAAGCAGATATTTTCGAGGAAATATGTGGTCCTACGGTACGGTGTTCAAATCGATTAGTTCTATCAGTTTACAATCTCTTGCTTACGGCGACAAGTTTATTCCTATGGGTTACTACAAACAGCTTTCTAAAATATCTGTTAAAACCAAGGAAAGTCAGGATTCGAAAAAAGACTTGCCACCCTGGCCTTGTCATAACCCTTATTCGTCTCAGTACTCTTCAAACATCCATCCATTAAGGTTTAAATCTAAACCGAATGAAACTAGTTTGGAACTAAAATATAAGACCGTTTGTCAAGAAACTTGGCGTTGGTTAAACGAATACTGGTCATTATACAATCTTTCTTATTCAAAGGTACGGTTTTTATTTTCTAGTGTCAGGAAGTTTGAGAATGATTACTCTGATTTTTCTAGACACTACCTACAGATAGCTCTTGTACACAATATTTTTTGTTCGTTTTCTGCATCCATACACCGTATACCGTTACGTTTCATGGGTATGCTTAGTTCGACATCAGTAACATTCACGAATTTTAACTATCAATGCTAGCGTCCCTAATAACTGTATTAACTGTTGTACCATGGAAAGTTTATCCACTTTAACTGAATTTCTTTATCACTAGTGTCTAGTGAATTTAAGTTAAAGATTATACCCATTTTTATCTTCATTGATAATCAATCTACTCTTGATTCCCAATTCATTACTGCGTGTTTTGTGTATTTTTTTTTCAGTACAAACAACTGGCTAAGATGAATTTTATTACTAAGAGTGACTTTTCGAAGTTTTGACAATAATCAATCCTATATATTTTCTACGTTTATTATTCTTATATCGTTAGGCCTTTCTAAGTTTTCATTTAGAAACTGTATTTTTCTTGTACACATAACATACCACGTGTTGTGCTAGTGGTGATCGAAAAAACCCCTTTTTCATGCATAAAGTAAAGTCGGTTAAATAATCTGATAGTTTTTTTTGTTTTGGTTGCACATTAAAGTTCTGTGGCATTGATAGGTAACTTGACAGATTTGACTGATCATCGTTGTTAATAGTCTCATTCACAGTTTCTCACAAGTTCAAAACGATGATTTACTGAGCACTTTACTACTGAAGCGGTTAGCAACTGTTTTATTAATTAGCCGTATATAGTTTGTGAAGAAAATACGTCTAAGGATTGTCAAATTAATGGATGAGATATCCTGATCGATTGATAATGTGCAACGATACTGTGTGCCTGAGTAATGACTGTCTTACACGCGACACAGTTTAGCTACATAACTACTTTCTCATTTTGTTGTTATTGCCTAATTTTTGACATCACGTTTGCTATTCTAGAAACACATCTTTAATCAGTTTGAAGATTTTCCTCCAGGATCTTCCCATTGGTTGCCATGCAGATATTCGACCACATAAATATGTCATACAATTGTTCCATATTTATCGGTTTTTATAGCCAGTTTTGGTCGATAAATAATTTCCTGATATTGCCTATATACACGTACTCAAGATAAATGTAACCACTGTCTCCGGGTTCTAACTGGCTGCAAATTATGTGAATTGGTATCAGAACCAATTTAATTGACAGAATTGGAATGGGTTTGATTATTGAAACAATGTGAATTCTCATTGGTTATTCGGCATTCCTGTTATCTTAGTGTTTATACTTCATTTAGTGTAGATTATTATCTTTTTTATTCGATCGGTATTATTAATTAAGTAATCTCTGTGATCTGTGTAAAACTCTGGCAAAGGGGTTTGAGTACAAATGATATATCATGCCATCAAACAGCCGTCTTTTAGTACGGTTATCATTGGTGCTTTCAAGTTCCTTGTAAAGTGTATAAATGTTTTAGGTTTATCAACTTCCTTATATCGTTCTTTATACCATTTTGACTTAGGTTGTCAGTATGTTGAAAGTAGGTACACATGTTAAAGTAGATGTTTATACAATTCTTTATTTGAATAGTATTTACACAAAATCAGTCAGTCAACTACAACGTAGGATCAGGCACATATATGCATCGGTCCTAGTTGCCACATCTTATTAGCGCACAAAATAGATATTATTATTATTATTATCATATGATTTTATTGAAGTTTTGTACACAACAGAAGTAATTTGTCTTTTTTTATCATTATCACTATTCTCATAGGCAAAAAATGCATTTTTGGAAAAAGAGAAAATGAAAAATTTGGAAAATAATTCAACTGAACATAAGATATCAGATATGGGAGTATTTCATCGTGAATTTTTGGAGGCAAATAAAAAGCAGAGAATGGACTTTAATCTGTATGTATTTTTTGTCCGTTCAATAAAGTCTAGAAAGTTGTTCCTTTTTTTTACATTAAACCTTGATTTCTAGTTGACTTTGATTTCCTGCAATTTATTTGAGTTTTAATCACCTATATACTACTCATATTAGTGATGTATTGTAATACTAACGGTTTCAATTCAGATATCTGGATAGCATATTTCTCTCTTCACTTTGATTTATCATAAAGATAGTTTTATAAAGATGATTTATCGGTAGACATCAAATAAGATTGATTCTAGTAAAGTCAGTCAATAATTCATGAAAATATCACATACCTAGGAATATATCTACAAAGACTTTAAAAATAGAGTAAACACTTAGCATACTGACAATGTGAATGGATAATATGAATATAACATCTTTATCAGTCGTAAAAATATAAGAGTTTTTGTCTCGATTTGATGGAAATTCAAATTTATAAAATCAAGGTTACAAAATAATCAGTAGGTTGTTTTCAGGGAATTCAACACTCTCAACAGTTAGGTTGTGTGACAGATGATACTTTTTGATTACTGCTTTATTGATCCAATTGTGTTCTTTGGTATTATTTTGTGCATAGTACATGATTTGGTTGAACTTCACATTAGAAAACACTATAATCTGAACTTATCACATCAATAATTGAACTGTATTGTTCAGTATTCAGTGATCTTGATTAGTAAAATTCTTCCGTCATATAAGGCACTAACCATCTCAAAATTTTAAATAAATCTTTGCAACAAGTGTCAGCTGGCAAGAATATTATGTCTACTTTCTGTCAGCTGCCTGCAAATACGTAACATATTGTACCTCAGTATCAACTACAAATTATCTGGTAGAATTCAATTGGGTTGAAAAACTAGTCGAACATGAATTTGGTCACTACTTAATGATCAATTAGTGTAAATATATCAATTTTATAAAAGATTAGTTGCGATCCGGACAGCTCAGTAGTAACGACTCAGATCTGTTCGAATTTTCTAGAAAGCGTCAGCTAATGATAATTTCAAGTACATTTTTATCAGAGTGCTAGATAGCATGAAACTTCGATCCAGCTCCTGTAACTGAACGTCTCGCTTAATAATGCATCATTGTAGAAGTTACCTTGATTGTTTAAGGTAAATTACTTACAAAAACTATATATTTTATCTAAATATTAATTTGATCTCAACTACTCAAACATCTCCATCTATTTAGTAATTATAACCTTTTAAAAAATTATGAAAGTTGATTAACATTATTTTTAACATTTACCGTAAAATCCATCGATAACACTATCATCTTATGATAAAACTTTTGTTGAGACTATAATTTATGGATGACCTTTAAGTGACGCTAAACTGACCTTGGGAGTCTTCACCTAATAACTAGGACCAAATGAATGTTATAAACCAGTGTGAGGAATTAGAATTATGATTTACAGTTGATGGTCAAAGTTAGGAATTAGATCTAGGGTTTTCATCACGAACTGATATCAGCTATAATGCCAAAACTTTATTTAGCCAAATAGATGGCTGAATTTCGCTCCGAAATCCGAGACCTATTATCTTATACCTGATTAGTTCGTCCATAAATTATAGTCTCGCCGAACTTTTTTCACAACTGTGTATAATGTCGCTGTTCACAATTGATTGATCACTGAGTGGTGATCAACGTTAGGTCCTTAGTGCAGATCGAATGCTATCAACCAAGCTGCAATATGGCTACTAGTCTAGGTGACTCGAAATTGCGTGCGTTATGTTGAGATAAGATGGTGATTGGAGGTTTGCTGTTGACTACCTCCAACCGGCCTTCGAATGCCCTAGTACGGCCGAGAGCGGGGAGAGTCAGCTCTCTCTCTTGAAATGCTCTCAAGTGTCCACGTGCATACAACCACTACCATGGAAGTCACTGCCTTCTCGTGGCAGAAGTGTTGTTTACAAGACTGAGAGGGCGAAAAGTTATTGCTCGGCGCTTTAACCGAGTTTAATGGATACGGGGGATTCACCTAGGGGAGTTGGAAAAACCTGATTTCAAACCAACGGTGCACATGGGCTCCAAAATCCCAAGGAAACAAATGGCGTGTGAACTAACTATTGATCACCAGCTACCATGGGACTGTATCTCCTAACGTTGCTCCATTGTCTTGTGGATTAGACCTTTAGGTCAGAGGCTCGTGGTGTGATCCCTCAAGAAACCACCTGGTTCGGTTTAGGCACCCGCGAAGTATCCTAGCCCTCACATAAATCGAATGATTTATGTGGCGCATATCTATTTGGTGCCTCTTTGTACTAATATTTATGTATTTGAGTAAATAAAACCTCCAACCACCATCTTATCTAAATGTCGCTGTGTTTATTTTACTAACCGATCATATTTTCTTTCTTTCCATTTTGTTTTCTTATTATAGTAAATGGTATCGTTCTATTGTTTATATTGTTTATCTAAGTATTTTGGTAGACCTACAACAATTGTATCATCGTTTCTATGCCAAATTTTCTCCAAAATCAAATAAATGTGAAAATGTTAATGATAAGAAAATAAAACCAAATCATTGATTATTCAATTGTATTCATTTGATAACTTGAATGATTTTGTATACGTATATATATATATATATATATATATATATATATATATATATATATATATATATATATATATATATATATATATACTTTATTAGAAATGAGAGTAAACTTTTATCAATATGGGAATTTGTGGAGATTGTAGTATTGTCAGCTGAATTCACGATTCGATCTAAGCACGGCTGGGTTCTGACTTGGTGGTTTAGAGGTTAAGCATTCGCTCTCGTGATTAGTTCACCGAAAGTACTTAAATAAGTTGAAGTATTTTCTGTTTGTTTTGCGGTAAACTTTTGGCTTTTGTAGTTTATTGTTTTGGTTGGTAAGGTCAAAAAAGATAGGTTATTATGTTAGTCGTATTGGTAGGATTCTCACAGTCAATCCTTTATTGTCATAAACAAACTTCTGAAACGATCATCATCGCATGCTAATTATTATGTTCTATTTGTAGACATCTCAGCGCAAAAGTCTGTAGTCACCTAACAAATAGTTATATCTCAACTTGGGAACTTGCGTCCGGTATCATAGCAAGCCTACTGTTCCACAATGCAAGAAAAAATGCATGTCCATTCGTCTGTTGTCATCAATTAATCCGATTGTTCTAACGTAATCATATGGAATTCCGTTTGATTATATACGTTTTACAGATGTCTGGGATGATTTTTGTGGTAGTCCAACGAACGTTTTTAGCAATGAGGAGTCTGCACACAAAGATGTTTGTGTACTGAATTCTGAACCTTAAAAATTAATTACAATTCATACATTAAGTGATTATGCGGAGATTATTTCAATTTTTAGATAGTGTTCGTCATAGAATAACCGTAGTTAAAGTATCATTAAAAACCATATAGGATGGGATAGTTGTCGAATACAAAAATAAGATTTTTCATCAGTGCTCATCTATGATCTGATCAACATACTAGTGGTTCAGCCCCTATTGCATGACCTGAAAGTCCTGGAGTTGATCAACCATGATGTCTTGGGCGTGTGCTCCTGAAGAGCATCATACATGGACGAAACAGCCGTTCAAAATTGAATGATTTTCTGTCACACCGCGGCTGAGGTCAGTCAGGGATTATTATCATCAGGATGAATACTGTGTTTAGTATCATAAAAATTTTGGTACCTAGGTAACTGGCTTTCCAGGTGGTCACAAAAGCCTTTCACTTCTATTAATATTTTCATGTATAATTATACATATGGATAATTTGGACATAGTCACAAAAGAACGGCTTCATGATTACTGTAATCGTAGTAAACAAGTTAATTTTTTGTATACAGTTGAGTATTCAATCGAAAAACCCATCTATATTTGTAGTCCAATCACCAGTCCGGAATTCTCATTTGTTTCAATGCACCTATTTCTTCATCTTTTAAAATTCGGAGCAATTATCTGAAATGAATGTTTACAACTCGAGCAATTTTCAAGACGGCTAGTTCATTGTACATTAGTACCCTTTTTAAATATGGTGCGAAAAAAAGATCATTTGCAAAGGGTTATTGTTTCTACACTCAGTTTTGATTATTGTTGAAGGTAACATAGATTCCAAAAAACTAATTAGTTATCTTCACCTTTTGTCCAGTGTGATCCAATTAAAGTATGGGGAAATACTTAATCTTTTGAATCGCTGTTCAAACAGCCAAGGATAATTAAATGAGTATCTTTAAAGTCCAACCAAATATTTTGGAAGTCGAATAGCTATATGATTGATTTTGTTCATATTTCATAAAATGTTTAAATGATATTGTGCTGTATGCTAATTATGCTGATATATATAAGTAATATGTAGCAGCAATCGGAAGTGGAAAGTCTGCTATCATGAATTGAGGAGAACAGCAATTAGAATAATGAAATTGAAAGGACTATAAAGTATGTAAAGGACAACTGATGGAAGATGTGCAAATCGCGTATGATTTTTATATTTTACTAAGGAACTGTGTAATTTTGCAGAGAAGAATAAATTGGTTTTCCCCCTGAAGTTCTCGTTCAGTACAATGCAAATGTTTATTAATTGATAAATCAGTTTCATTTGTAAGTGGACGGTATTATATAGGTGTACTTGGTTTCAGATCGGTTATAATTTGGAAAATATAGTGACTCAACATTATTAACATTTAATTAACTTCCTGCTGCACCTAGTATCTTATATGTGTGAATAATTGCACAATGAAGGTATTAGGGGAATTGGGAGACGTACTACTGGGTAAATTAGGAAACAATTCTGATTTCACCACTCTATGCAATTGATCATTTTCGTAGAAGTCTACACTAATAGTTTTATCACGGTAAAAACGACAAGGTTTTGGTTATTTTCTGTTAAGGAGACAACTAAGCTCACAGCTAATATATCGAATTTCAAATCTATTTGTAATACAGTGCGATTAAAGAAAAAGGGAAAGGACCGATCGGATTTGTGATAGCACGTCTGGAATTTGTGCACGAAATCTATTCGTCTATAAGACCAGATAGGGTTCTTACATTATAGCTGATGTCAGTTCGAGTTGGGAATCGTAACTTTAATTTCTTGTCCAAACGTCTGACCTCAATTATCAATCATAATCCCTAACGCTAATTGCTAACCCAATTTTGAACAAGTGCTTGAGGTTTTAAAGGATTATTTTTAGAATCCCCAAAGATCGTCTCTATACTTTAGTTCCACCTGCATTAAATTTAGCTATGAAAAATCTATCATTACATGAAGATAGATATTTTCGGTATATATACCGGAAAGCCATATGTCTCGTCTGTATTTAGCGACGTTTTGTAGATATTGACAGTGAGAATTCCTGGAAAGTCTTCAGGAACCAGGTGAGATTTTTATATGCCTCGTTGAATCGGCATTGAATAGAAATTTGCCAAACTTCTATAAATTGTGTCATGCCCTGGTTGAATAATTGCCAATTTTGTAACATTAAGACGTCTAGAATATCAAAGTCACTTGTAAGCCTAGAACTATCCTTTTTTAAATCTACATAAGTTTGTTTGTAAAGTAAGACTTTTGTACTTACCACCTGCTCTCTTTCGTGTGAACTTTAAATATGGAAGGTTTCTATCCCAGTACAGGTTCACCACCTTTGTCGAATCACCATGTTGATGCAACTAAAACAGGTGGAGTAGGACTTGAATAAGCTTTTCTGTGACTGCAACCTCAGTGTTATATTTACAAATCACTTAGCCTTCAATGCACTTATTAGATTTTTCTTGCAGTATTTTTATGAAGTGTACCATTTATTTAAAAACATAACCAATATGGTTTGACTTCCTTCTTATTATTTAACCTTTGATCGAGGTTTATAAACAAGTGTGTGGTGTTTTTAAAACAGTATCTGGAAAACTGGGATGAAACTTTACTTCCCCATGAGATTCAACTGAATAAAGTTTACCATATTAGAATGCACTTCTAGGTAGAATTACCTGGTCTGGAACATCATAGTACTCTCATGTAATATGTGAAAACCGACTCTAGGATGTGAGTACATCTAGCTGACCAGTACCAAATAGAATGAAACTCAAGTAATGGATTTCACTGCCGGCAACATGCTATATATTCTACGTATTTAATAATAATTTCATCGAATAGATAACTTTGAAATAAATCTAATCATTTAATAGTATGTAAAATGTAGATGTAAATTACTTTTTCTTTATATCACAGCTGGTTGTCATTCGTTAGGATGACAATGATTTTTTCATGTCTTGCTAACATAAAGTTATCCTGATCAACCTCTGAAGTCAAGATTATTATTTAAAAGTAGCAGGATTAAACTTATCATATTAGTGAATCATCGTGATAAAGACTATATTCCTAACATTAATTATGTATTAATTGATTTTTTTAAAACTTCGCCTGTAGCTCCTCTGGGGCTACTGCCGGTCTCAAGCCCAGATAAATGAGGAGGGTTGGGCATGGGGTTAGCGACCCCATCCTGTAGAAGGATAACTCACTATAAAAAACGCGAGCCAGAAAATAATTCAAATTATTTCTTTAATTTTCACTTTTAAAAAAACAGTCACATATTCATCTATATTTTATTAGCAAAAGTCTGTTTTATCCGACTGTCGATGTTTAAAACTGACTTTCGATCGTACTTTATCAATATGGGGTTGTGGAGATTACTAAGTTTTTGATTGAGGTCATGAATCGATTGATGTTAGACCACCATTGAAGACCTGTAAGCACTGGACCGCCATTTCGTTTTATTATGGGACTCCTCAGCAGCATGCATCTATGATACGGTTCGCAGGATTCGAACCCAGAACCTTCGATCATCTGGCCCACTAAGCGGCTGGCATCCAATGGTGTTAATGTCTTACCTCAACCAATCCACGAAATTGCGCGACTCAGTGGTTTAGACGGTAGGCGTTCACGGGCAAGACCGAAGATTCTAGGTTCAAATCTTGCCGACCGGATCGTGGGTGCACACTCCTGAGGAGTCCCGTAATAGGACGAAACTCCCGTTCACTGCTTTCAGATTTTCAATAGTGGTCCAACATCAATCGATTCATGATCTCGATCATACATTGTCAGTATATTTTACAACCAATTGAGTGCTCAGTGGATAAAGCATTGGTGTTTGAACAAAAGCGCATTGAGTTCGAGTCTCTGTATGAATATCAACACTTGTACGCAGGCACATGCACACATTTGACGAGTCAAAAATAACAAAACAAAAACACTGGATATTTTTCTAAAAAAAAGTGAGGATGTGTACAGCGTTACATTTATGCATATTATAATATTCATCCCATGTAACTCTTTATTCATAATAAACATATGGTTGTCTATTGAAATATTCCCACAGAATTCTCTTTCATCTGATTTGCCCAAAATCTAAACTAAAAGATAAATAAACAAATTTATTGGATTACAAAATTATCCATATAACATATGAGTTTTGATTGGTCTAAATAGGCATAGTAACAATTTTCCACATTTCATCATTATTTGTATCATTTTTAGTAAACAAATGTCTGCATTACATAATGTAAGTAAACCGTGTTTATTTTTTAAAAGAGTTTAATAATATGTTTAAAACTGGAAAACCTAAGACGTGCACTGCTGAAGAATCACACAGTAGGACGAAACGGTCGTCCAATGCTTCCAGGTTTTCTATGGTGGTCTAGTTTTAATTGACTCATAATCTAAACTATTAAAATTACTAATAATATTCACAAAACCCCTTCTGATATAAATCTAAAATCATTATGATATGAACGTTTGTAAATGTTTCCTTTTTAGAAACGTTCTGTGATTGATACACATTGTCACTTGTGTGAATCTATGTTTGATAATGTAAGTTGATCAAGTTAATAATTTGTTTTTCTTAAAAATTCTGTGCTGGCTAATGTTTGTGTTTTTTTTTTAAATATTAGAATTACCCTCTTATTGTATCATCATTTAGGTATTTTATCCAAGTAATTGTATAAGTTATTACGTATGTTGGTAATGAATTTCAATGTTTATTCATTTCTGTCTATTACTAATAACAAATGTTAATTATCAGTAACTTGATAGGTGTATTTATTATTTGTTTATTTAAACACATAAACATTGGTACAAGGAGGCACCAAATAGATATGCACCACATAAGTCGTTCGATTCGTGTGAGAGCTGGAATACTACCCGGGTGCCAAAATCAAAGTAGGTGGTTTTTTAGGGGGCAACACCTGGAGCCTTTGATCTAAAGGTTTAATCCACAAGGAAGTGGAGCAACGTGAGGAGATGCAGTCCCATGGTAGCTAGTGACCAACAGTAGGTTCATACGCCATTTAATCCTACAGGATACTGAAGCCCATGTGCACCATTGGTTTGGAATGAGGGTTTTCCAACTCCTCTAGATGGACTCTCCTTGTCCACCGACCCGGTTAAAGCGCCGAACATTCGCTTTTCGTCCTCTCAATTTTGTAAAAAAACACCTCCAGTACTAGAAGTAGTTGTACGCACGTGGCCATGTGAGAGCATTCCTAGAGGGAGGGCTGACTCTCCTCACTCTCGGCCGTACCAGGGCATTTGGGGGGCTTAGGATATGAAGTGTTCTACTTTCAACCATTAAATTACCGGTCCCAAACTTCCTCACTAGCCCTCATACTCGTGACTTGTATCCAAATATACTAAGCTGTATCCAGTGAATTAGTTAAAACATTTAGCTTTCAACATTTTTAAAATCTAAATTCTAATATTTTAAATTGCCTCATGTTCTTCTTTATTCAGAAAAACAAAACAAACGGTTATTCTTTTTATTTTGAAGTTAAATACCTCGTTTTTCTTTGTTTTCTCTTTTTTTTTGTTTTTTTTGTAAGTCAACAGTTCATCATATAATGAAAATCTATTTGTTCAGTATAGATACCATTATTAAGGACAAGAGTCTTATTACGATAATCAATAATGATAATAAGAGCTATATTCTTATGAAGAAACGTATATATATATAAAGTAATATTCCTTTAAGGAAACATGACACTGAAAAGAAATTGAACTATACTAAGGGAATCATTTTCAGGCAAAGATGATAATTATATATATATTCTCTTTTCATGTCAATATTTCCCCTTTCTTTTTTCTGATGTTAAATTCATCATGAATGATACTATCCGGTTGTTAAATAAAGATGGATAATGGCTAGTAGTTGAATCCAGTTTGACGCACGCTACTTTGTCCTACCTGCATCTCAGAGTTGATGTTTGCTCCAGAACTCCAATCCAGTACCATTCACTTCAAACGCTATCGCGTTATTTACTTAGCTACTGAGTCCTGATAGCCACCTGCTTGTACAATGGGATAAAGTTTAAATTCACCTGGTATTGTTTATTTGTATCTTTTCATTGTTACTTAGGATTGTAATTGATCAGTCTCTTGTTGACATATGTGTATCAGGACTCAGTAGCTAAGTGGTTAACCCGATGGTGTTTGTAGTGACCAGTACTGGGTTCGAGTCCCAGAGTGTAGATCAACTTTGAGATGCAGGTATATCCAGATGATAAGCCTCAAGTAGGATGAAACGTGCATCAAACTGGATTTCATTTCTAGCCACTATCCATCTCTGCTTAAAAAAGCTTATGACTTAAGGCTATATATAGGCGATCCGCACATATGCCAACAAGAGACTGATCAATCTCAGTCGTAAACAACCATGGGAAGATACAAGTAAAACAACATCAAGTGAATTTATTACTATTCAGTTGATTTATATTAAGTAACAGAGTCAAACTAATTATTTTTGGCGAGACTATAATTTGTGGATATACCAATCAGATTTACGCTAGCAGATCTTGAATTTTGGCGCGAAATTCATTCACTTATTTGACCAAATATCATTTTAGCATTAAAGCTGATATCAATTCCCCTTTTAATATATACTGACATTGATAAACAAAGAAAAAATTAGTTTAGCAAGAACAAAATCAACTCATATGAATTCAAACGTTGTTAGTTTTGTCTCTTAGGAAACAAAACCTTAGAGATAAAGAAATTTCCAAGCCTAGAATAAGGAAATTAATATTTAGAAATATATATAACTATCATTGTGTGACTGAACTAATTTAATTTATGATCACATTGATTTTTAGTTAATTAAAACAGAAATGAAATCATCACATTTCTTCGGAAAGATTATATTGTGTTGTTATAACTTGTGGCTTTGTGCCCTATTAATATATGACGTAATGATACCGCCAAATAGAGAACAGTGAATTGTCGACCGGGCCAATGAGGCATAAACCCATACGAGCAGTCTAAAGTCTTTATCGGTCCTTCTTTCTTCCTACGCCTGCGTGTTGAGTTCAGAATACAAATCTCAGTTTCCGCAATGTGAATTATGTATTTCAAACATACTGGGCTTATATACAAACCAGACAGACCACATCGTACCATAAAATAGAAAATAACATTTATACAAGATCTAGCCAAATGTGACTGTGAATGTGGGAGACTGTAATTGATAGACCGGGCATAACTTAAGAACGGTAAATCGTATAATAACAGTCCATATGTCGAAATAAGGCTTAAAATAAGAGGAACATGAATATGCATAGTTTAGTTGCATACCAATTATACTAAAAAATATATGTATTGTATTGATCCATAAATAGTTCTCAAAAGTTACCATTCATAGTTGTCATCGTGGTACAACCGTCAATGAACTTGAATCATATTGACTTGTATCATTAACTTATAAGATATTCAAATGAGTTCTATAGGTTTTGTATACAAACCTATATGATATCACAAATAATTATAATTAACGAAGTTCAAACAAAGACAAAAATATTATTCTCTGTATTCCAAGATGATATCAAATCATCATATAAAATAATTTAATTGTATCAGAAAAATCTCAACTCATTCGTCTCCTATCCATTGAGCGGATGTCATCATCAACAGCCTACTGTGGGAGAGAACAAACCAGCTTCCATCTGAAGAGGAAATCGGAAAAAGACGATGGAAATGGATAGAACATACATTACGGAAATCACCAAACTACATCACGAGGCAAGTCTTAACTTGGAATCCTGAAGGGAAGCGGAAAAGAGTAAGGCCAAAAACACAATACGTCGAGAAATAGAAGCAGATATGAAAAAGATGAATATCAACTGGAAAGGACTGCCCAGGACATCGTTGGATAGAGAGTACTGATGGGTGGGATAAGCTCCTCCACGAGGAGTAACAGGCGTAACTAAGTAAAGTAAAGTACCTATTGGTTTAGCTAATACAATACGTTATATATATTTTTTCAATATCAGTCAATCAAAACTATGTTCTAATAGTTGTTGTATTCTCCAATATTCATTGATTTAGGATATTGACAATGTAATCACCCGTGCAATCTCTTCAAATGTTCATGGTGCTATTGTATTAACCGAGAATAGAAATGATTTTTCAAAAATATTTGAATTAAAAAAGAGGTATACTCCTTATTAACCACATATACATTTCATTTATCAATTAATTACTTAATTTATATCATGGTTAAAGCATAAAACTTATTATGTAATAGTTGAATCGGTCAATTAAGAATTATCAGTAGTTTTGTGGAGATTTTAGAAATTTCATTAGTTGAAACCATGAGTCGATTGAAGCTAGACTACTATGGAAAACCTGGAAGCACTGGACGGCCGTTTTGACCTAGTATGGGACTCCTCAGTGGTGAGCATCCACGATCCCGCACCCCCAGCGGGATTCGAACTTAGGACCTAGCAGTCTAGCTTCAACTGACTCATGAGATCAACTATTGCAATTAAGGATTATTGAAGCAAATCAAAGCAATGATTTAAAAAAATAATTATGTGATTCTTCACGTTCACAATTCCCTTCTGTTTTCTCTTTTATTTCCTCAACTTTACCTTCTTAGCCTTCAGATGTCAGTTTTCAATTTCAATTGGTGTTACACACTTCCTATGCCTGTCAACATAAGTAGCATACAACGCATTAGTAATAATATACAGATTTCCTAGTTGACGGATACTAAGAACAGTGTAAAGTTGTGTAGATTATCAAGCTTTTGGTTGAGATCATAAACTGATTGGTGTTAGACCATCATTGAAAACCTGAAACCACTGGACGGCCGTTTCGTCCTATTGTGGGACTCCTCAGCAGTGAGCATCCACGATCCCGCTTGCGGGATTCGAACCCAGGACCTATCAGTCTGGCTCGCGAACGCTTAACCTCTATACCACTGAACCGGCTGGCATCCAACAGTGTTAATGCGCCACCATCTTCTATTGTAGTGAGGTCTCTACCCGATATGGATTATCTCCACTGGTCACAACTTCTCACTAGAACCATATAATGAGTTCAGTTTATCTCGTAGAGAATGTTTACCTTAAATCTTAATATTAAATTTAATAATATCAATTATCTTTAATTTTTAAAGGACTCTAGTAATAGAATATTGTTTATTTACACCCGTTTTAAACATCATCAGTGCCTAGGAAGTATTTTTCTTTTAAAAATACTTGAGGGCAATGTTAAAGTATACCCTTTCTTATTTATTCAATGTATGAATATGACTTGTAAATTTTGGGTTGAATATCTAGATGTTGTACATGTTTGAGGGAATCTCTATTCATTGAAATCCATTATATATTACTTATATAAATAATGTTTAATGAAATAGTATAATCAAAATGATTTTTCTCTTCTCCTTTTTCAAATGGAAACAAGGATAAAATCAATAGCTTAGTGAATTCATTAATTCATTCGTTCTTTTTAATTCTTCACAAATACTTATTATCCAAAAATAGTAATATTCAGTGTTAGAAACAAAACAAACATCAAATGTACAGTCACTTAAATTA